AAAAAAAAAAAAAAAGGAAAAAAGTACACATACGTAGGTGTGAACAGCAAAGCTCAGCCCACTTGACCAGTAAGAATTCCAAATGGCAAACTGATGGAGTGCTGAATGTGAGGTTTTAATATATGGTTAAAGGCAAGTAGAACTCAAGGGCTAAAAAGAAAAACCATTTTTAAGTCTTGATAAATATTTTAAACTTAAATTCTGACTCAGGTTAGACTGCATAAATCTGTAAGATATTAGGTTGTTTAAAAGCAGGCAAACGGTAACATCAGAATTATGATGTTTGTAGGCTGGATGCAGTGGCTCATGCCTGTAATCCCAGCACTTTGGGAGGCTGAGGCAGGTGGATCACTTGAGGTCAGGAGTTCAAGACTAGCCCGGGCAACATGGCAAGACCTGTTATAAAAAGAAAAAAGAAGAAAAAGAATTATGATGCTTGAGTTCAACTTGGAAAGTTACCTTGAATATAAAAAAAACTGTCATTTCAAAAACACTCCTATCACCAAAAACAAAACAGTCACTATTCCCGCAGATTTCCAAAATACATGGTACCCAGCAACTTTATTCTGCCCTTGCTACCAAATCCGCATCTTTGCTGAGAATTCTTAGCCATTGCTCCAGTGAACGTAGCTAAGATTAGAACTAGGATTACTGTAATAGTTACTCCGTTGAAGTGATCTATAAACTGAGACGTGTTGAAGCACGGAAGAGTGTTTGATTGTCAGGTCTAGAGAAAAAGGATATGAAAAGTCTCTGGGCTTTGAATTTCCTGATATTTACATAAGTACAGAGGTTTACTAGAAGAGGCTGAAATATGTTCAAAAGGCTCAGTTTCTTCTATTGTATTTTCAAATAGCAGAGAAATGGCTTTATTTTTACTACTCATAACACTTTATTTTTACTTTGTACAAAATACAAAAATGCAAATCCAAGGAGTACAGACCAGTAGTGGCAGGCACACTGTACAACAGCAACCTTGTCTAGCAAGACAGGAGTTTTTTAAACTTTTAGTGAATACATGCATTACATAAAACAACAACAAAAACACAAAGAGCCTAGAGATTTCACTGTTTCTACCCCCAAAATAATGCTTACCATCAAGACTTTGGATGGAGATGGGGAAAAGAATTTAAAAGACAAATCATATTTTTTTCATAAAAAAGTAAAAGCTACCATAAAACATTTTTTTTTGTCACACTAATTAAATTTCTTCCGAAAAGCCGCACATATAGACAAAACAAAACAAAAATTCCTGAACTGGACAAACAGCAAATACTCAAGAGGGTTGTTAACCTAGGTAGCAGTTCAGTAGTTTAAAGAATCTTTTAGACATTTGGAAGCCTTTCCATTCATTCCTCAGTATAGTGCTCCAGTCATCCTGCTTGTTTTTTCCCTCCAGTACCTCCCAGAACAGAAATGCTTGCATCATTGAGTCTGTTCCTAAGAACTAGTTTTGAAAAAGAAGCGACGTACAAAAATATTTAACAGAACTATGAAAGGTGCAGGAAAGGAGTCTTTCTTCGTGGCAAAGTAGTCTTTGCTTTGCATGGTTTCTTCTGCATACTCTTCAGGGTTTGTTTATCTGCCCCATGAATAACACAGCACCTATAGAATTAAAAGAAAATAACGCATGCCTCTGTAAATTAATAATCCTTAGAATAAGATGGCAGGTAGTATGTTTAAGGGAAGGGAAAGAATCATGTTTGACCTCTTGCTCAGTAGTGTTGTCCAGCAGAACTTTCTGCAGTGGTAGAGACAGTCTATATCTTTGTTGTCCAGCATGGTAGCCATTAGTCACACGTGGCCAGAGAATGCTTAAAATGTGGCTAGTGTGACTAAGAAATTGAATTTTTATTTTTTATTTCTTGAGACAGAGTCTCGCTTTGTTGCCCAGGCTGGAGTGCAATGGTGTGATCTCGGCTCGCCACAACCTCTACCTCCCAGGTTCAAGCAATTCTCCTGCCTCAGTTTCCCAAGCAGCTGAGATTACAGGCACCTACCACCATGCCCAGCTAATTTTTTGTATTTTTAACAGAGATGGGGTATCATTATGTTGGCCAGGCTGGTTTCAAACTCTGACCTCAAGGGATCTACCCACCTCGGCCTCCCAAAGTGCTGGGATTACAGGCACGAGCCACTACGTCTGGCCAGAAATTGAATTTTTAAAGTTAACGTTAAATAGCAACATGTGGCCAGAAGCTCCCTCACTGGATGGCCCAGTTCTGGAGCACATCAGTTAGAATATCACGGATGCAATGAGGTAAGAGGATGAGGAACTATCTTATATTACTGATTAAATAAAATAGTAAAAGCTAAAATATATTAGTGCCTACTCTTGTACCAGCAAGAAGCCAACTGCTCCACAAAGACAAACTTACACTTCATAATTGTAGTAAGCGATCAGAACTAGTGTTGTTCTCATTTAAAAGATGAGGCTTAAGGCCAGAGCCAAGTTTGAACCATGACTCACAGGGTAAAAATCTACTGAATTAACAATTCCCAAGGTATAGCAATAGAGTGGGCTTACAAAGTGAAATGGTTTGGCTCTGTGTCCCCACCCAAATCTTTCCTTGAATTGTACTGATCCCCATGTATCAAGGGCAAAACCAGGTGGAGATAACTGAATCATGGGAGCAGTTTCCCCCATACTGTTCTGGTGATAGTGAGTTCTCACAGCTCTGATTGTTTTATAAGGGGTTTCCCAATTTGCTCAGCTCTCATTTTCTCTCCCGCTGCCCTGTGAAGTGGTGCCTTCTGCCATAATTGTAAGTTTCCCGAGGCTTCCTTAGTCATGTGGAACTGTGAGTCAATTAAACCTCTTTTCTTTATAAATTACCCAGTCTAGGGTATTTCTTCAGAGCAGTGAAAACAGGCTAATACACAAAAGTTGAAGTTATATGACTTCCAGCAAAATTGAACTACCACATTTATATAAACATGGAAAAATCAATAGATGTCAAAAGTGTTCCAAAGGGATGCTGAGCCTCTCTGTATGTTAAAAACAACAATCTGCAAAACCTAAAATCCTGTCGGTGTGTAAAAGATTCCATCACACTCTGTAAACATAGCTTTTATTTTCCTATCTCTCTAACATGGATGGTTATATTAGTCAAAGTGTTTGCAACTATTGATATTAGTGAAATGGATTATGGGTACCACTGTTGGATAAAATGAACAGTGCAATATACCTTCTGAAATTTTAACAAGGAGGGAATGATAGGGGAGGAGAGTCACTTACCTGTAGGATTATGTCGGATGAAAAACAGAAAAGGTCTGTCTACTATAAACCAGGGAGGCGATGATCTTGCAATTAGAATTGCAGCTATGGGAAGAAAAGGAAAATGTGATGTGCACCAGCATGAGGTCAGCAAGTTGGCTACCTTCATGGACCCTCAGATGCTGGTGTCCGAAGACACACTTCATGCTTGTCCCATAGGTTGGCCATGTTACAACAGGCTCAGCAGTCACCATTTACTAAGCCTACCTTGGGCAAGACCCTCTGCATTACTGTCTCATCTCTTCTACACAAGCACCATTTCTGATAAATGTATTTATTCCTCATAGAGTTTTGATGTGGATTAAATGACATAAGACATATTATAGCTCTTAGAACAGTGTTTCCCACTAAACACACCTAATGAATATTCATTGTTATTATTAGCTATTTTTTATTCACACCATCTGCTTTGCTGATAAAGCCCCCAGTCCTTTTTCTTCTTCTTTTTTTTTTTTTCCTCTGTTGCCCAGGCTGGAGTGTAGTGGCACAATCTCAGCTCACTGCAACCTCTACCTTCTGGGTTCAAGTGATTCTCCTGCCTAAACCTCCTGAGCAGCTGGGATTACAGGTACACACCACCATGCCTGGCTAATTTTTTTTTTTTTTTTTTTGAGATGGAGTCTTGCTCTGTCACCCAGGCTGGGGTGCAATGGCACGATCTTGCCTCATGCAACCTCCGCCTCCCGGGTTCAATCAATTCTCCTCCCTTAGCCTCCTGAGTAGCTGGGATTATAGGTGCGTGCCACAGTGTGTGCCACCATGCCTGACTAATTTTTGTATTTTTAGTAGAAACAAGGTTTCACCATGCTGGTCAGGCTGGTCTGAAATTCCTGACCTCAAGGTATCCACCCGCCTTGGCCTCCCAAAGTGCTGGGATTACAGGTGTGAGTCATCATACCCATCCCTGGTCCTTTTTAGCTTCCCTCAATCTTTACTGTGTATTAAGGCCCAGCCCAATTCTTAGCGTTTGTGTCTGTGCCTTCTCCTTCAGCACACTATTTAGGCTTCCTTTGCACTGGAATGTAGATCACTCGTCCAGGACCTACTACCTTTTATTGCTGTTCAGCTTACCAGGTGTAGACATCTGACTTGGAAAGCAAACTTCTTTAGGCTCATGAGTCTTGGCCATTCCTCATCTGCCATGCTTGCTTCCATTTAAAAAGCCTGAGCCAGGGCCTCAAAGGAGGGTAGGCATGGGGGGCATTACTACCACATGCCTGTTGCAATGGCTCAGTCCTCTTGCTCAAACCCTGTAAAGTATTGAACTCTTGGGCTTGACGTTACACAGGAAACATCAGCAGTTATGCTGGGGCAAGCCCTTTTACCCAGGGTTATTAAAAACAAATATTAAATAGCAGGTGTTATGGATTGAACTGTGTCTCCCCTAAAATTCATATGCTGAAGCCCCAAACCCCTAGTGTGACTGTATTTGGAGACAATGCCTTTGAGGAGGTAAGGAAGGTTAGGTAGGGCTACTCTAACAGGACTGTTGCGCTTATTTGAAGGGGGAGAGATACCAGGGATGTGTCACATGGAGAAAAGACCATGTGAGGATACAGGGAGGCGGCGATCTCTGGAGATCCAGAGATCTCAGGAGAAACCAAACCTGCCAGCACCAACACCTTGATCTTGAAGTGTGAGTTCTGTTGTTTGAACTACCTAGTCGATGGTATTTTATCATAGCAGCCCAGGCAGACTAAGACAGGAGGACCTGCGCAGTTACACAGGGCTTGCACTGGGTTTAATACTCTGCTGTTAGTATCTGGAAATTCTTAATACATCCTGAACACAGGACTCCATATTTTCATTTTGCACCAGACCCCACAACCTATGTAGCTGGTCCTGATAGTTATACTCCTTGGCAAATTTGATCAATAACTTTTAGATGTTACTTAAAATTACCTAGAAAAAACAAAAAGCATCTTAAAATCTCCAACCCACTTTTTATTCCAGGTTCTTTGTTTTAAATGCTATACTTTAAAGGAATTTTAAAAATGTTTATTCAAGAAAAGCAATAACACATCTATTGTGAATATAAAAGATATGTTTCGATGACCAGAGATATTTGACCCAGCTACAAGTATAGCTAAGATTTTCACTTTACGGGCTCATAGAGTTGGCCAAATCTATTCATTTAATTTCCTACAGGTAATGAGGGGTGAAAAACCCGACTTACGATTGTTCTGTTTTCTCCTTCATTATATAAACCACTGAGGAGAACGCAGATGTGGATGTTCTCATTATCAAGGAAGCCTGTATAGCAATCCTGCCGCAATTCAACAGATGCTGGCACATTCTTCGGTTTGCCCTGGATTGCCTATTTTCCTGTAAGTACTTGTTGTTTATTTTATTTTATTTTATTTATTTATTTTATTTTTTTTTGAGACAGAGTCTCGCTCTTGTTACCCAGGCTGGAGTGCAATGGCGCAATCTTGGCTCACCGCAACCTCTGTTTCCTGGGTTCAGGCAATTCTCCTGCCTCAACCTCCTGAGTAGCTGGGGATTACAGGCACGTGCCACCATGCCCAGCTAATTTTTTGTATTTTTAGTAGAGACGGGGTTTCACCGTGTTGACCAGGATGGTCTCGATCTCTTGACCTCGTGATCCACCCGCCTCGGCCTCCCAAAGTGCTGGGATTACAGGCTTGAGCCACCGCGCCCAGCCTGTTAAGTTTATTTTATGTTTAAATCTGAAGATTGGTCTTTTCTGGCCAGTAAGAAGCCAGAACATGTTTTATCCTCCTGAGCAGGGGTCAGCAAACTACTGTCCTCAAGGTGGGTCTACCAGGCCAAATCCTGTTTTTATCAATAAAGTTTTATTGAAACACAGCCGCATCTGTTTACTTGTATTGTTAATGGCTGTTTTCATGCTACAGTGGCAGAGCTAAGAAGCTGTGATGGAGATGGTATGATACACAAAGCTGAAATACATACTACCTGGCTGTTTATAGAAATTTGCTGACTCCTGTCCTAGAGGAATTTCTGTCACTGAAATGCTTTGCTTTAATGACACAGATTCTAAGCTTTGTGGTTACAGGTCCTCAATCTGTCTGTACTCGCTGCTGTCTCTCGAGGGTCAACCCACACACAGTGCCTGGCTGAAAGAGGGCGCGTTACATATTTTCTGAACCGATGACTGTACAGGAGTGTGTTTGCTTCCTTGCGAGAGGAAGCCCTGCCATGTGACCCAGTGCTTACTTGTTGCTGCTGAAGCTTTGGTTCCATCTTCACTGACTTCAATTTTTGCTTTTTGCAAGATCTGAGAAACATGGAGGTTTTCTGACCCTGTTTCCAGAAAATAAAACAGTATCAGCATTTGTTTGACAGGCAGGCCATTGGTTGGTTGGGGAAGTAACCTCACAGCTCAAAGCCATGGCAAATTCCAATTTTTAAAAAGTGTCAAAAGACATGACCTCTGACAGTCCTGGTGGTTGAAGGCTGTAGACAGCTGTCACTTGTGAATTTCAGTCCCTGCTAAGTGATCTGTGATACTTACTTCTGGACAGGGGCCCACGCCCTCAAATGATTTAGTGTCTCTATCAATTCACTTCTGATCACTAGAATTTTATTTAAAAAATGAAAAGAGCAGAGCTTTAAAAAGGAAGCCCAGTTTTCTGGAAGCAGCAAGGCGAAAGATTATTGTTCAGTTACAGAATGCAGACGCAGAAAGGATTTCAGACAGCACTTACAGATGGGGAAACTGAGGCCTAGAATGTTAAGTAATCTTCCCTGCAATCATACGGCTAGTTAGTGGCAGAGAAGTGCTGGCTCTTCACAACAGCCACCCATCTCATGGGCATGCTAGTGAGAGAAGAGCGTAGAATAAGAAAATACTTTAGATTTTCCTGGAAGGCCCAATGTGTAAATGCAGTTGTGCCTCAGGGACCTTCTGGTGAACTCACTTTACTTCGCAGCGAAGTCTGATGATTCCAGCAACACCCGCTGGGTGCAGCTTTCACGGAGAATGCAAACTAAAGTTGACATTAATCTGGATGGGACATAGGTCTGGATGCAAAGAGAAAACGTGCTTTTTGTGTCAACTGCTTTTGAACTCTCAGCTCTAAAATGACCAAATCGTGGCTGAGATGCATATTTCCAGGGCCCAAGTCACATGCAGTGTTAAAGAGGGCTTTCCAGGAGAATCTGGGGCACCTGGTTCTTCCTGTGAACACCCCCTATTTATTATTTCAGCTACCGTGAATAAGCTTGAAGGGGAAAGTGCAGATGAAAATGGTGCTTCTCAGTCTTTGCTGGGCTGAGGGATTGTGTTAAAATGGATTCTGGTTCAGTGGGTCTGGGTCACACTCAAGATTATGCATTTCAGACAAGCTCCCGAGTGATGCTAACGCTGCCGGGCTGCAGACCTGAGTTTGAGTCATGAGCGATTAGTGGCGATCAGAGTATCCACAGAGCTGCAGGTTCACCAGGGGAGTCATGTTTGTCCACAGAACAGGTACTAGGTATTTACTCATATGCAATTAAAGCTGGTAATGAGCTAATTTCTTACCACTCAAGGTTATTTGCAAATTGGAGTGCAAATAACTTTCAAGCCATGACTTTTCTTTGGAAAGATTGCTGTGTTCTAAATTTAAATAACAAAGGACTAACCATTCAAACATAACTCTAGAAAAAGGTACATATACTACTGGCAATTGAAAAGTATGCTTTAATTGTTTTGGCAAAGAAAAGTTTTAATCAGATTCATTTGAATCCGTATTGTTTCAGATTAATAAGCATGAAATGCCAAAATACATATCTAGGTATAGTGCATGCCTACAGTCTTGATTTTTTCCAAACAAAAGGAAAAAGTTGGCATTTGAAAACAGAGCGAGAATACCTAAGTAAGAGCCAATATTCATAAAAGCAATAAAATGAAATGCTTCTTTATGTAGTCACAGGCTTCACATGAAATGTACGTGAAAAATGTGGGGATGCTGATTTAAATGAAGGTCAACAGCAATGACTATATAAGAAAATGAGGTATAAATATACCATGGAATACTACACAGCCAGAAAAAGGAATGAAATAATGTCTTTTGCAGCAACTTGGATGGTTACTTCATTTATTCTAAATGAAGTAACTCAAGAATGAAAAACCAAATACTGTATGTTCTCACTCATAAGTGGGAGCTAAGCTATGGGTATGCAAAGGCATAGAGAGTGGCATAATGGACTGTGGAGACTCAGGAGGAGGAGGGTGGGGTTGGTGAGGGACTAAAAATCTATTAATACATATTGGGTACAATGTATACTACTCAGGGGAGAGGTGCACTAATATCTCAGACTTCACCACTGTATAATTGATCCATGTAACCAAAAACCACTTGTACCCCAAAAGCTATTGAAATAAAAATATAAAAGAAAAAAATAAATAAATGAAAGTCAATAAATAAATAAACAAAGGGCAATAGCACCATTTGGCAATATATCAAATGAAACCTCGTACAGTTTTAGGGCAACACATTCCTAATCCTGATCCTTTTCCTCTGAACAAATCAGTCTCAGTTTGGAACGCTTTCTTCAAGTATACAAATACATTTTCAATTGAACATACTTGTTATTTTTGCAAAATTTGCCTTTGATGAATCAAACATGTCGGTAATGCCAAGAACTTTCAGCGGCTCCTTCAAATCTGTCTGTGCTACAGCTGTGAACCTAGCATGAAAGCAGAAATGAGGAAAACATCATGAGGCTCTAAATGCTCCAACATGATAGAGTCCCTACATGTTTACAAACTGAATCTTTTAAAGTAATATCTGAATACCAATCTGAATTGCCTCTTAAATTTGAATTCCAAATTTAAATGCCAGATAAGTAAAGGACAACACATCTCTCAAACAGTTAGCAAAATGGGCCATATATACTAACAGCAAGTATAGGTGCTCCCACCCTCAGGTGTAATGGGCTCCCTGTTCCAATACTTAGGAAGATCTACAAAAGCACTTGCCTTTACACTGACATGGAGACTGAGTGTTAGCAAGTTCCTAGTACTCCGGAATATCTATCATTTTTTTCCCATATCCAACTAAAGTTCTCCATGTCAGTCTTGGCTGCTCTAAGACCTGCCATCTTAATAAGGACTAGAGATGGTCAAAAGAGAAGAAGAACGTTCCTGATAGTTCGTTCTAGGATTTTTTTGTTTGTTTGTTTGAGACAATCTTGCTCTGTTGCCCAGGCTGGAGTGCAATGGTGCGATCCTGGCTCACTGCAACCTCTGCCTCCTGGGTTCAAGCAATCCTCCTGCCTCGGCCTCCCAAGTAGCTGGGATTACAGCACCCACCACCACACCTGGCTAATTTTTTTGTATTTTTAGTAGAGACAGGGTTTCTTCATGTTGGCCAGGCTAGTCTCAAACCCCTGACCTCAGGTGATCCACCCGCCTCAGCCTCCCAAAGTGTTGGGATTACAGGTATGAGCCACCGTGCCTGGCCCATTTTGGGATTCTGAAAGCATTTTACTATTCAAACAGGAGCAAAGATTAGGCATAGGTGACATGGTATTATATTTGGGTATAATATAGGTTTCCTGAATATTTGTGGCCTACCTGGCCTTGGGGCTATATACATACAAACCTATCATCAGAGGATGTTTTACCAGATTTGATGTCATCCTGTGGAAGAGCACCAAGGAGAGGTGAGCAGATTCTCCCCACAGATGGGCTATAATTTAAAGAACCTGTTCTTCGCCCATGAAGGCCTATGGTGCCACCATCTTATTTATTTATATCAAGCACTGCCCACCTGAAGGCTTATTTTACCAAAAAGAAAAAAAAATCTTGGGAGGACTACTAATACTTGTTGTGAATGTCTTACTCTGATTACTTAACTTGCTGACCAAAGAATCAAAAGCTATTAGAACTCTCTCTCCACTGCCACCAAGACCTAGGCTGTTAAAAGCTCTGGATGGTAGGAAGGCAGCAATGTTGAGAAGTTCATACAAAGGGAACAACATTCATTGCTTCTTCACAGTTCTGGACAGAGCATTCTCTGACCTGTTAGAAACTGAAGATTCATACAGGATTTGGGATTACTTTTCCCATGGCTTCAAGTCATAGCAGTTCCAATTCCATCTCAGTTTCACTCTTAGGGTATAATAGAAAAACTGGCTGCCTTGGTCTTCATGAACCTCTAGCTAAATACATAAATAATTAAAATGAAGCTTCTTATGAAAACACATGGAGCTTTATGAAACTTCACTGTACTTTGATCCTTACTCTATGATGACACACGTGTGTTTTTCAGTCTTTAAATACAATGAGATATGTTTAAAAGCCTCTGCAGTACTCCAGCGAGCCTGTGCTCATGTGGAGGTTCAGAGACCAAGGTTGCCCTCTCTCCTTTCTTATGATCCATATCTTACCATACAAGAAGCACAGGCATTAAATCAAAGCGTTTAGAAAAGCATGGTCTTGTAATCCCACCATGAAATTTCTGCAAAACAGAACAGGCTTCATCATGTGCCATATTTTCACCTCATGTTGTCTGGCGTCCCACACGACAGCTGCTGGTTGAACAATGCCATTGTTCTCTTTGAGGGGAAGGGGCCACTTACTTGGGCAGGATCACCTGCACCCTCTTGGGCACCATGATGCTCATCCAGCTGTCTATGGTCTTGGTGCTGATGTGTGGGGTGATGGCTGACAGTGGAGTGGAGTTCTCCGTCGGCAGTGCAATCAGCATGCTGATGCTCTCCCCATGGTAGGGCAGTTCAATGAAGTTGTACCATAAATCATTGGGGGTGCTTGTCGACCCTAAAGAAATCAGAAGCAGGTTCAGTGTATCCTTGCTGGCTTCTAGAAGTGGCCTGAGTGCTTGCTGGTCACCGGGGTAGCTTCAGAGAGCAACTCAGATGGAGAACTTCCCTTTTCCACAAATAGCTTCCTTAGAAGGACAAAGATAAGGACAGTTATTTCTTCCTTTCCCGGTGAAGAATTCTCCTTTCTTCAGCCTAGATAGAATGCCTTTGGGCATCACTAAAATCACTTTAATTCTGTTGAGAAGAATTTAACTAAATCATAAAGCACTTAAAATTCAGTGCTTTGCAAGAAGTTGACCCTTACATGAATAAAAGAACAAATTCAAGCTGCCTTAGAATCATTCCTTATTGTTTTAATTTAGTTTTTTTTTTTTTTTTAAACTAAACCGTGTTGTGTATATTACAGTACATAGTATGACATTATGGGATACATATAGATAGTAAAATGGGCACTATGGTAAAGCAAATTGACATATCCATTATCTCACATAATTACCCATTTTGCTGTTTTGGGGACAAAAGCAGCTAAAATTTACGCATTGAGCAGGAATCCCAAGATGCTGCAATTTTATTACCTATAGTCCTCGTTTTGGATAAGCCTACATGTACATGTGAAGAGAGGGAGGGATACACAGCGTCCACTGGGCCCACTCTGTGCCAGGCTCACCCCAACCCTTCCATGACTGGGAATCTACAGCCCCTCACAGGGTAGGCATAAGCAGTGCTATTTTGCAATAGAGGAAGCCACCTTTAGAGAAATGAAGTAAACTGCCAAAGGATTCACAGCTAAGAGGTGGGGAGCCAGGAGAATCTAATGCCAAGGACTGTCTTCCTCCTACTCCACCACCCTGCCCTATTCACTCTTCACCCATTCCAGTAACTACCATCGGGGTTTTAGATATTTCATGGGACTTTTGCTTACTAATGACAACCCAAGAATAATTTAAGCCAGCATTTCTCAAATGTTATTTGGAGAACAGTCTACCTACAAGATGTTCTATAGACAAAACAGATCCTACATTCTAGGGAGGTTAGCAAGCAAGAAGAGAGCAAGCAAGTTTCCTGCATGATTTTCACTGATCTTTTCCTTGGAGATGGCATGTGCCAATCACTGCCTGTGAGACAGAGAACTTCAATATGCCAATTCTCCATAGAAGGGGGTTGGGAGGGATGGACAGAGGGAGAGATGAAGAGAAAGACAGCAAGGGAGGAAAAGAGAGTGAACTTGATGAACAATTTTTGCTATGAAATATGATAAAAATAGTGCGGTTATTAAAACACATGGCACTACAGGATGACGCTACAGTTTTTCCCTAAGGAAGAAACAGCACAGACAACTGACAGAGGTACTGGGGCTCCCCTGGTCCCAGCACACTGCATTTGCCTGCAGAGCTGTTCAGTGACCCAGGTGCGGCCCGCTTTAGCTCCCATGTGGCGTTGAACTCTCACCTGAGCCTGGCTTTAGTCTTGGGCAACCTAAGAATGAAAGAAAGGATTCTTCATCTTTACTCTTAGCCTGCATAACAAAATGGTCTCAGAAGAAACTGAAAAATCAATGGGAAAATGAGAAAAAAATCACTTCCTAATGAACTCTTTAATCCTTGAAGAAAACATTAGTTGCCACTCTGGTGGAGCTAATTTTCAGAAACTGTGAAGTTTGAGAAGTGATTAATAAGTGATTGCTCCAGGGCATGAAATAAGGGCCTGGAGATGTTAACTGCTTCTAAAAATGTTTACTATTCTGGTAAGAAGAATCGAAGTAGGGAATAATGAAAAGTTATGAGCTGGAATGTGTTCAATGAGGGAAGACAGATAGCATCTAGGTTCACCAGTTAATCCATTCTTGACTGGATCCATTATTAGCTGATCGGTAATATTAATAACCATGAACCATTATTCCCCTGACTCCTTCTGCTTCTGACCACAGGAGCTGATGACCAGTGGTAGCCAGAGTGTATCGGACATACCCATGCTTACCTTTATTTAGCGCCTTGAGGAGCTGGTAGATAAAATAACGCCTTTTCTGCGTTTCTACCTGATCGCTCAAGCACTGCATCCTTTTACAGAGGACACGTGCCAAGGCCAAGGACAGGAGATCTGGGGTTATAGGACCTGTATTCAAATCCTGCACCTGTAGCACATTAGCTCTGAGATTTAGGCAAGTCCCTTGACTCCAAGTCTTAGTTTCTTTTTCTGTAAAAAGTTATACTAACAGCACCTGCTTTGCAGAGCTAGGAAAATTCAATGAGACAACACATACAAAGTGCTCAGCACAAGCTGGCCCACAGCAAAAACTGCCATCTATTGATGTAAGAAGCTCTGTAAAATACCTCACTTCTTGCATGTGAGATCCCTGCTCACAGTCCAAACACAAAATCGGCTCACCCAGGGTAAACCATACCTGTTGCACTGGAGCACAACTCCTGAGCAGAATGAATCAAGTAAGGAAGAGGATTTGGGACCCTTGTGTCAGAGCATGGAGCCTCTCGTTGTCCCAGAGCTTTTTCCCTTTAAAATGCCCTACCCGGCCAGGCGCGGTGGCTCACGCCTGTAATCCCAGCACTTTGGGAGGCCGAGGCAGGTGGATCACGAGGTCAAGAGCTCGAGACCATCCTGGTCAACATGGTGAAACCC